TAGGATGAGAGATGAGGAGTTGAGCTGGTCAAAGTCCAGACCCTCCACCCACCCCAAGCAAAGTACATCTGTCTTTCCATGGTGTTCTATGAAATCTTCCAGGAAACAAAGCTTCAAAAGTTCAGAACTCCTTACCTGGCTCAGCATCTGCGCCCGGTGCTTTAGCCTCCAGCTACATTCTGACGGGCCATGCCTCCTGCCCCTTACCATGTTTCCAGCTGATAAGCCCACAGAGGGTTCTGCAGGTGGGACTTGGTGGATTCACTTTGACCCCATAGTTTCTCCTCCCAGATTTTGGAGCAGCCCTTGGGTGCTGGGATCTTCTCTGGCTAACATGTGGTAGCCTGAGTCAATGTGCCCAAAGCTTGCTGAGCATCAGGGAATGTGTTAATACACATTCCTGAGCCCTCCTCTCACAGCTTCTGAATGAGATTCATTCGTGGGGTGTGTTTACAGCTTCTCTTGGGAAGCTCTGCCGAGAAGGGTGCTGGCCTTCCCCAGGAAACTCAAGCCTGGCCCTTAATGAGGCTGGGAGGCTTAGAAACTCACTTATTTCACCCGAAGTGCTCTTGGACAGCAGAGCTCTCTGCATTAGGGCTCCTGTAGGGTCCTTCAGTTCAAACCAAGCCAGAGCTCCTAAAGTGGGTGTGCCCTGCTGGAGCAGCATGCATATCCCATCCCATACCTGGATGGGGTTGAACTCCTGGAAAGGGACTGGCAATCTGCACTGAATATAGGCAAATTCTCCAGGTAACACCCCTAAGTCCAGCTCCCTCCTCATCACTAAAAGACAAGGGAAACTAAGGCTCAAAAACTAAGTGTGACTGGTCTCCAGTCTTAAGACAAGTGGCCCTAGCTTCTGAGTCTTCTCTCCACTTAGCAGCCATTCTCGCCTGCCCTCTGATAATCCAGGATGGCTGAAGGCTCTTGGTCTCAAGAAGCCTAGCACAGGTTTTAGCTTCTTCTGAAAAGGCTCCCGTTCATAACACAGTGCGTGACCTGGCTGGACCAAATCACCATGTGTCCGCAGATCTGGGCCATGTGGGCAAACCTCCCTACCCACCTTCCCTGGCAGGCCTCACACAAAAGCCAGACAGACAGACAGGACCCATCCGTACAAACAGAACCCCACTTTATTAGCAGTTAGTTCGAGATTGTACATTAATGGAGAAAGGTTCCCACTTTCAACACAACCCAAAACGGCTGGTTCAAGAGCCCCCGTTAGGTGAGCTGGGTAGCACCCCTTCCACCTCCTCCCTCCCTCACAGGGAAGGAAACCTCTGCCTGCTCCCCAGCATGCCCCCCACCCCCTCTGGTCAGCCCTCTCCTCTCCCCAGGAAACGACATGAATTTCATGCACCAATTAAAAAAGGAGCCCTCTAGCCCATGAGAAAAGCTAGCCCAGTCATAGCAAACCCTCTCCACCCTCAAGCCTGCCAGGGCCAGAGGGGGAGGAGCAAGCTCAGGAGGGATGAGCTTCTCAGAGAAAATCCAGTCCTGCTCCCCCTGGCCCTCCCGTGACCTCCCTGAGGCCCATCCATCCAAGAAGCTGCTCACTCACTGGTGCCCTGAGCTAGTGCTAGCATCCAGCCTGCAACTGGCTACCCAGAACCCTGGAGGGCCTGTGCCTGCCCCCCATCCAGCCCCCCTCCCCCATCTATAGCAGAGCCGTTTCCTGCTTGCACACTGAAAATCCCTGCTGCAGGCATTTTACTGCTCTCTGTAGATGGGCAGGTGAAGGTCTGGGAGAATGATGGCCATGAGTTCACCAACTGGACCCACTAAGGACAAACTGCAGAGCCTCTGCCTGCAGCCCAGTGCTTGTCCCTGCACACTGCAGCTTAGGGGAGGCCTTGCCCCATCTAGCTCTTCCTGGTGCATGCCAGAGGCTTGTCTCTGGTCCAGTGCAAATTCAGGGACCACAAAGCAGAGAGGGGAGAGAAAGAAAAAGGGGTGGGGGGGGAGTGATGCTGTTTGTTGGGGCCCTGCGGGCTATCCTCATCCCACCCCTCCCAACCAGAGATGTTCAGAACCTGACCTGGCCCGGCCTCCATCAGTGCCGTCTCCTTCACAGGGCCATCGCTACCCTTCCTCACCGTGTGGCTGCCTTCTACACGGAGTCCTTCCTCTCCCCACAGCTCCTTCAGCTCCCACTGACCCCTCTGCCTGTTCTGCCCCACTACAGGTGACAGGGAAGGTGCACCTTGCTGGGAGGGAACTATGGAGACAGCACAGAAGGCAAGTTTACCAATGAAAATGCAGGGGATAAAGAAGGCGAGTCACAGGAGACCACGAGGACAAGACAGATCTGGAATGTGGGACTTCTATGTGACAGCTGGCCTGCTGGCCTTAAAAGAATGTCATTTTAAAAGTTAGAATGAATGAGCTGGGCACCGGTGGCTCACGCCTGTAATCCTAGCTACTGGGGAGACTGAGATGTGAGGATTGTGGTTAAAAGCCAGCCCAGGTGGGAAAATCTGGGGGACTCTTATCACCAAAAAGCCAGAAATGGAGCTGTGGCCCAAATGGTAGAGCACTAGCCTTGAGCAAAAATGCATAGGGACAGCATCCAGGTCCTGAGTTTAAGCCCCAGGACTGGCACAAAAGAAAAAAAATAGAAACAGACGGAAGACTTTCAGCAAAGAGTTTTAAGAACAAATACAAAATGCATTGTGTGCACCCTGACTGGATCCACTTCCAAAGCCCGGTGTAAGGTAGTTGGAGGACAAGTGGAGGCGCTCTGGGTATACACTCTGGGTATACATCAGAAGTTAGGAAGTGGCTACTGTCCTGGCTGTGGGAGTGGTATCATGGAGAAGGCCTGGGCTGTTAGCAGATGAAGACTGAAGCACCTAGGGGTACACCTCCTGACATGTGCAAGTTGCTTTTAAACTAGGTCCAAATGCTAAAGGAGAAATGAGGGAGGAGAAACAAATGTAGCAGCAGAAAGCTAGTAATTTCAAAACCAGGTGCTGGGTTGTATCCATTCATAATCAAACACTTGGTAAAACACTTCTGTATTTGCTCTTCCCACTGGGGACAGCCTGTGCAGAGGCCATCTCTGTGGGTCAGGCCGGCACCTTCCTCGGTGGGAACCCACACCTGCCTCCGTGAATTCAGAAGTGCTGGCTGCTCATGTACTGAGGCTCAAAAGGCCATCTTTAAATATTCCACTCATCCTCCAGGCAATCAGATGGCAGGATCGCCGAAGGCTCTAGATCCTGAACTACAGACAAGTAGCCCACCTGCACCCACTCTGGACCAGAGGCTGGTGGGACAGCCGAGTGACCTGCACAGTTTCAGTGCTCTCTCTCCCCAAAATGCTTACCGTGATCCATGGACACTTGAAACTGATGCTACTCCCATGTCTGGTCACGTCAGGTTTGCCCTTCTCAAAAGGGAGCTTGGTGTGCCCAGTAGCTGAAGGCTACTAGGACAGTACTACCCTCCCTTTCTTTCAATACCTACAAGTTCCAGCAAGTCCTCAAGGAAGATTAGTAGGAATAAACATAGCAACAGTGACCTACACAGACAGAGAATAGGTGACAGGGCCAGCTCCAAGGCTGCTAGAAGAGACCAAGCAAAAATCTAGACTTTCTCCCCTGCATCCTGGGGTCTCAAACCTGCCTGCTCCTACCTGAGGCCAAAGGCAGAGAAAAGGGAAGCTCTCTGTCCCACAAGGGCTGCTCCAGCCAGCAGGGCTTGGCTTTCTGATCCCGGACCCCATCCCCATTGACAGATGGGAAGTAAGGCTTAGAGCTGTTACCAGGGAGGTCACAGGCTCCCATCTGCTGGTGCATCTTTGTGAACACAGCAGACAGGCTGGCCTGCGCTCAGGGCACTGCGCTCCTCACTCCTGCGGGGTCCACAACAGCCAGAGTGCCCAGGTTTCGAGGGCCCCCATGAGAAGCATGGTGGCAACGAGCTCTCTGCACACATCTGTGCGCATCTCATCCAATGTTCTTCTCCACCCCACGGAGAACATGAGAAGAGGGCATTGGCTCAGAACAGAGACAGCCTGGGCTGCAAGAGGAAGGCCTGCCCACACAGCTGAAGCAAATGCAGACCTGGGAACAAGGAGGCTCAAAGGCACCTGGCTGGGATGGAGTGGTTTGTCCCCATATCCTGGAATGACTGCAGCTGTGACTAAGGAAGGGTTGGAAGCCTAACACACAGTAGGGTCCCAAGGATGGGCTTAGAGGCAGTGTGGCATTGGAAGAAGAGCACTGGACTCGAAATCTGGGGGTCTGGAGTTCAAATCCTGGCCTGGCTTCTGATCAGCTCTATTGGCACCAGCCAAGCAAGTCACCTCCCTACCCAGGCCTGCTTTATACCTGTCAAAGGACCTTTCTAAGCCCAAGATGCCAGTCTTTTGAACAGGGCAGGGCTCTCCTGGAAGAATGTCCTGGTATCAGGGGGAAGGAGAACTGGCAGTGGAGGGGGCCAGAGAAAGACACCCTCAGCCTCAGTCACTTCACATTGTTAAAGGGGAGAGGAAGGGGAGAGTGGAACCCAAGCAGACAACAGCCCAGGGATACTGTGTCTGCGAGGAGCCCAGAGACTGTGGTGGCCCTGGCGCCCACTCCCAGGGTAGCTCCCAACCTAGCACCATGTGAGGGGGGGCAGGGGCAAGCCAGCTCTGGGCCCCAACGTTCCTGCCCCAGCCCCACTATTCCCTTTGACCACTCTCCCCCCAGGGCCTTGGGATACCTGAAGCCAGAACTCCTGGAGAGAGTTGATCTTCCCTTTGGCATCACCCCTCTGATCCCCTGGGACAGCCCCAGGACAGCAGTGGCACATGGAGGAGGGAGCAGAGACCTGGGCACCTTCATTCTGACTCCTTGAGGCCCAGACATGCAAAGAAGCGCCCTCCCTCCTCCCTTCCATCTTGTCCTCCAGCACTAGGATGTGCCACCTTCGAGCTGGGCTGCATCATTGTGTAACGACTGAATTAAAAACAAACCCAACCAAAAAAATATAATATATATATACACATTACATACATATGTGTGTATATACATGCATGTATACATACATATATATACACATACATATATATATATATTTAACACAGTGCGACCCCAGCACCCAGGGTATAAACTCTGGCACCAAGAAAAAAAAAACCAAAATATTAAAATACTTTAGCTTCTTAGTATTTGGGAGGTTAACAGGGAGGTCTCTGGGGACCCTCAGCCACAGGTCACTGGGGGCAAAACTGTGGACACCAGTCTGCCGGTCAAGGCAGTAGGTGTGGGGATGGTATACGTACACAGGAGCATGGACACGGGCAGACCGCAGGCCCACCTCAGCCTTTCACCACAGGAAACACCACACGTCACATCCAGGGTGAAGAAAGGGAACAGCCATGAGGCCTGCGTCTCTAGGCCCCGTGGCAGGGCCTGGGACCTGCAGAACACCCTGGGCACTGGGTGGGATACTGAAGCAACCAGAGATTCTTTCTCCAAAAAGGAAGGTGAGATGTGTCAGTGTTAACCCAAATGTGGAGGTTCTGCGCCTTCTCAGGGGGGACACTTACATCCAGGGGCTACCTCTGATCCCTCAGAAGGTCCTCGCTTGGAATACTCAGGGAAGCATCGAGTTTCTCCCCCTGATTTGGCAAAAGGCCCCGCTAGGCTCCTCTCCTTGTTGTTCGGAGGACAGGGCTCTGGCAGCTAATACTGAGGGGATACCTGAGGGAGCAGGGAGCCGCAGGATGGAGGAGAGGACAGGGTGGTAGAACACAGTGAGGGATAGGAAGGAGTCTCTCGGGACTCCTTCTCACCAGAAAAGTGGCCTTCCACCAACCAGAAGTGGCCTCTGCAGCGAGGCTGTGAACGGAATGGACCTCTGGTGCCAGGGAGGTCCTGCAGGCCACATATCCGGCAGGCGGTACTCGGAGGCCCTCGCAGACCCGCTGGGCTGCTCCTGGCCCTGGCCGGGCCTCCACGGAGTATTGCTCATTGTGCTCGGCTGGCCTGGCACCCCTCTCTGCAGGTCAGTCTGGCTCAGGCAGCAGGACGCCCTTGCTGCCACGAGCTCACAGGTGTCCAGTCTGCCTGCCGTGGCCAGGGCTACCTGGTGTTCTGGAGGTCCTCCCGCAGCCAGGTGGGCAGCGTCTGGCCCATCTTGTAGAGCAGCTTGGAAAGCTCGATGTTGTGGTCCCGGTAATAGTCCTTCAGGAAGGCTCGGGACTGCAACAGAAAGATGGCTCAGGGGAGGGCAGTATTCAGACGCACACAGGGCCTCTAACTTGCCCAAAACAGAAGCCTCCAGAAGAAACTACCATTTAGGAGGAGGGCTGAAATAGAGCTCATAGTGTCAAGGAGGAAAGAGCATTCATCAAAACCAGAGGCAGAGAGGAAGAGGAAAACATGCTGACCTTTATGACCTTCCTGTGTGTCCTTGCACTCTCCTAGGAGAACAGCCTATCTCTGTGAACCCAAACTCCATGTGCTCCTGCCACGGAGGCCTTCTCTACCACCTCAGTCCCTAAGACACCCTTTCTGAATGTCCACTGCATACACGTGCACCCCTGTCCTGCACAAAGCCCTCCCTGCCTTGAGCCCTGGCCCCTGGTGTGGGTCACCTCCCCTGAAGGAGTGTCTTCAGGCAGAGAACACCATCTGCTTCATCCTCCAACCCTCCAGTCTTTGAAGGCAATGAGCCCCTCACCCCTCATGCCTCACCCAAATTTCCTCCTCTTTTCTTCCCATTAGTACTAGATATTGAGCTTGCTTGGCTGGTGCTCTAGCACTTGAGCCAAGCCTGTAACCCACGTTCACTTCAAACAGAGATCATACAGATCTCAGCCTACTGATGAGCTAGGATGATAGTCTTGAGTCGCCAGAACCTCCTCTTGGGAAATGCCACCACCATGCCTGGGTGAGGAGGTAGGGGCAGAGGGTCCTCCAACGCAGGACCTTCCCACTCATCCGGCTGCCATTGGCACTATGTCCACCACTTACATCCAAGTCCATCTCTGGATATTTCCGGCCTTTGCTTTTGCCCAGACACTTGGTTTTTCCTCCTTCGAGCAGCTGGCACCAAAATCCTTTCTTTGGGTCAAACCTGTGGAAGTGGAAGCCTATGGGTGGGAGCCAGAGGCCTTGCCTCCTCCTCCCCACCTGTGGTCTGCACCCAGAAGAGAATGTCTGTGTCCCTCACACTCATGGGCCACGAAGACTGTGGATTGACATGTGTTATCTCTTGGCCTACGTGTTGCCTGGGCTCCACTCCACATCTGCCCTTCTTCCTGCAAAAGGCACCTTTCATGCTCCAAGGCTCCTGCCTTACCTCCTCCTAAGATCCACAAGAGGATGCTTCCCCTTCCCACAATCCCCAGAGGTGCCTTCTGAGCATCTTCCAACTCGGTAGTGAACAGCACCATGCTTACTCAAGAAGACCCCTTTACCAGTCCCAGCTTCAAAAAGATGACAGTGACATTGACAGAGCACTTGGCATATACAAACTTTGAGACATGGGCTCCATCCACATGCTCTCTTTCTATTCAACATTCCTAAAAGGCTGGAGATCCTCTCCTACATCCAAGCTATAGATGGCTAAGGCTCAAAGCCTCAAGGACTGAAGCAGGTCACAGGCAGTGATGAGTCTGAGTTCCTCAGCCATGCATCAGTGACACCACAGTCCATCCCTATGGGATCAATTTTCCTCTTCCACCTTCCATCTCTAGTACAATCAGAAGCAGAGGGAATATTCTTTTTTTTTCCCCCCTGCTGGTCCTGGGGCTTGAACTCAGGACCTCAGTACTGTCCCTGAGTATCTTTTGCTCAAAGTTAGCACTCTACCACTGGAGCCAGTGCTACTTCTGGCTTTTTCTGAGTGGTAATTGACAATAAGTGTCTCATGGACTTTCCTGCCCAGGCTGTGGCTTTGAATCGTGGTCCTCAGATCTCAGCCTCCTGAGTAGCTAGGATTATCTTACTGCAGGACTTTGCCAAGAAAGCAGCCAGGGAGGGTGACTTCTTCCTCCCTTTTCTTAGGCCTCCAGTCTCTGGCAGCCTCTCCTACCCTGAGCCTCTCACACAGGTAGCACCTACCAGCTGTGCAGAGGCATTCTCAACACCTGCACTTCAGGTGAGTGGGAAATTATTTTAAGTCTAAGTCTAAAGAAATTACACTTTAAGTCTAAGCCCAATGCTAGAAAAACCTTTATGGAAGTTGGAACTGCCCATTGCTGGTCTGACCAACTGACAAAACACTAAAAATGTTTGACCCAATCCGAACTAAGTGAAGATACTCCAGGATAGGCTGACCAGTACAGAACAGGTTCATCATCTGCTTCTCTTAAGGTACTACCACCTTAGCTTTTCTTCTGAATAACCAGCAGGGCAGTGTGTGCTCTATCATGTCTGCCAACTCTAATTAACCTATGTCATCATTCAAGTTTTGGGATTTGGGAGGCTTGGGGTGCCTCTGCTGCTATTTGTTTTGTTTAGCCTGGGTGCCTGGGCAAGGCTAGGCCATACACTACTCACGCCAAGGTTTTGTGGTAGTCAATGGTGTTGGTCACCCCGAGGAACTTCTGCACTGAGTCCATCACTTTGGCAGGTTCTGTTCGTAGCAGTTTGCCATCCAAGACCAGAATCTGAAAAGAAGGAAAGAGTAAAAGGCCACCTGAGCAATTGGGGTCAGCTGCTATCTTGGCAGGTACAGGTCCGGCTGCAAATTGGGACCCTGAGAGCTTGAGTTTACTTCCTCCTCCTCCCTGGAATAGCAGGCCTCCATGCCTAATGCTGTTCTCTGTGTGCAATCTCTGCTCACTGCCAGCTCCCCTGAGCCACGCTGTCCTCTCCCAGAATTTAAGCTATCAACCCCCAAACGTAACCCACCCTCAAAAACCTACAGCCTCAGGGCTGGGAATGTGGCTTAGTGGTAGAATGTTTGCCTAGCATGTATGAAGCCCTGAGTTCAATTCCTCAGTATCACATAAACAGAAAAAGCCCAAAGTGGCACTGTGGCTCAAGTGGTAGAGTGCTAGCCTTGAGCAAAAGAAGCTTGGGGACAGTGCCCAGGCCCTGAGTTCAAAGCCCAGGACCGGCAAAACAAAAACAAAAACAAAAAACCCTATAGCCTCTCCCTTCTAGCCTGTCACCAAGCTTCTAGTCCACATACCATGCTCCTCCCCCAATCTCTAACGGCTTTTTAAAAGACCTCATATGAGTCAGGCATGGTGACCGAAGCCAGTAATCCAGCTACTTGAGAGATGGAGACGGGGAAACCATGGTTTGAGGTCAGCCCTGGCAAGTTAATGCTATGGCTCAAGTGGTAAAGTGCTGGCCTCAAGCACAGAGAGGCTCAGGGACAGAGCCCAGGCCCTGAGTTCAAGCCCCAGGACTGGCAAAAAAAAAAAATAGCCGGGCGCCAATGGCTCATATCTATAATCCTAGCTACTCAGGGGGCTGAGATCTGAGGATTGCGGTTCCAAGCCAGCCCGGGCAGGAAAGTCCATGAGACTCTTATCTCCAATAAACCACTAGAAAACTGGAAGTGGCGCTGTGGCTCAAGTGGTAGAGCACTTGCCTTGAGCTGAAGAGCGCAGGGACAGCTCCCAAGCCCAGAGTTCAAGCCCCATGATCAACAAAATAAATAAATTAATAATAAAGAAATAAATGCAAAGGGGGCTGATGGAGTGGCTCAAGTGGTAGAGCACCTGCCTAATAAGCCTAGTGGCCCTGAGTTCAATCCCCAATACCACAAAAGGGTGGATGGAGTCTTCTTGTCAGGCACTGGTGGCTCATACCTATAATCCTAACTAGTATCTAAGGACAGGGGTCCAAAGCCATCCCACACAGGAAAGTCTGTGAGATCTTATCTCCAATTAACCACCAAAAAAAAGCCAGAAGTGGAGCTGTGGCACTAGTTCAAGCCTTGAGTTCAAGCCTCAGGACCAGCACAAAATAAGAAATAAAAGGCTTCATGTGACTTGACCCTGTCACCATGCCCCTTCTCTTCCTCCTAGCCACCCAACCCCAGGGCTTTCTGAGTCCCCAGAGACTGAGATCAGCACTCCAAGGGGTGGGGGCAATGGCTACCTGGTTGGCGTGAAAGGCGCTGAGCCAGCGCTCGATGTGGGTGGCGTACCAGCCTGGGACCAGGCAGCGGTTCTGGAGGGCCCGCAGCTTGGAGGGCGTGTCGGGGCCGGCTGTGATCACCTCGTGGAAGGTGTACTTCAGAGCCACTGGGTCATCATGAGCCCGCTGGTGCTGCAGATGAGGGAGAAGGTGGCATGTCACATGGAGACAGCCGTCCATGTGCAGAGGTGTGGAGATCCTGAGCCTGCCCCAGCTCTGCCTCTCTGCTGTTTGTCTTCAGGGAAGTCACTAAACCCAGGGTCTCAGTTTCCCATCTTTTTAAAATAAATGTTGGCCATTCACACAGTCTCTATGAATCCTGTGGCACCACAATGTCAGCATTGTTTTCTTGACAATGACTCACCTTTCTTTTTTCACATCCATTTATTTCAAAAGAAAAGTCAATGCCACCATCATGAAAGGATAAAGGGAATCAGTCATATACAGAAGGCAGCTACTGCTAAACACAGGAAAACAAAAGCCATGTTCTGAAATGCCAAGCAGAGAAAAATACCTGCTCTAAGTCTTGTCCCAAAGTTCATACACTCCTTGTTGAAACAGAACATGTCCTGTTAGAAGAGACATAGGTGCTATGCACACCAAGCAGCTCAATTCTCCTTTATGGAAATCGGAAGGATTGAGTCTGAATTACTGAAAAATAATGCTGAAGGACACTGACACCAGGAGAATTTCCAGTCCAGAGCACAGGGACCTGCCCTCCTCCAATGTCAAAACAGCCCAGGCAATGTTCACAATGGCCTCTGGCTCTTCCTGGCCTCCCTCAGACAGAACATCACCCTTCTTTTTCTTCCAGCTTCTCCTGGACCCTCCTGGTATGAATGAGTCTTTCTCCTTATCTCCTTCCCTTCACCCTTTGATTGTAGACTAGAAAAAGAGTAAGGGTTTAGATTTAGAAGACTAGGTTCAAAATGCTACCACATGAAACTTCACATCATATGTGAAGTAGATATACACACTCATCTCCCACCCCCTCCTCCCCACCACCTTTCCTGCCTTCTAGAAAACTGCCATGATGCTCCTGTGAGGTGTCAGAAGTGGAACATCGCCCTGAGTATAGAGCAGGAGGCCAGCTGGACCTGCGACAGCTTTCTCTATGTCGCCATCTCCCCATAAGAGCAGAGAGCAGTTCTCTGTTCAGTGCTAGGCACAGGTAGGGAAGAGAAGTGGCCTGCCTGCCTGCTGTGTCCTCAGTTTCCCCTGACTACAGGCACAGGAAAGGTGCATATCAAGGTATGAGGCAAAGTTCCAGGGGACAAGAGGAACTATCCCCTCCCCAGGCTGCGGGAGCAGCTAGAGGGCGCGAAGTCTGAGGGACTAGAAGCAAAGATGATCTTCCCTGTACCTGCTGGCACTGCAGGGCACACAGTGAAGCCCAGCAAGCATTCAGGTGAGGAGGCTCAAAAGTGGCCAGGCCAATGTCCAAAATACACAAGGAGCTCAAAAAAGTAACCCCTCCCCAAACTAAGAAATCAATCAATAAATGGGTAAAGGAGCTAAAGAGAAATTTCTCAGAAGAAATAAAACTGGCAAATAAATACATGATGAAATGCTCAATATCCCTGGCCATAAAGGAAATGCAACTCAAAACAACTCTGAGATTCCATCTCACCCCACATGTTGGCCTGGATTGGCCGACATTATGAACTTGAACACCAACAAATGCTGGCAGGGGTAAGGGGGAAAGGAGCCCTCCTGTACTACTGGTGGAATGTACAATAGTACAACCAGTCCTCAAGGCACTTTCCAAGTGCCTCAAAAGAACTAAACAGATTTTCCCTGTAACCCAGCCATACCACTCATGGGCATCTACCCAGAACACTCCAAGTCAGGATATGGTAAAGACACTCGCACCTCCATGTCACTGATGCACTATTCACATAGCCATTATGGAGACACCTCAGATGCCCTTCAATGGCTGAATGGATCAAAAACGTGGTACTTATAGAATTTTACTCATCCATCAGAAAGAATAAGATTATGTCATTTGCAGGGAAACAGATGTACCTAGAACAAATCAAGCTAAGTGAGGTAAGCCAAGCTCAGAGAGACAAATATCATGTGCTCTCACTCATATATGGAAGCTAGGTCTAAAATGTACCTGGACATGATAACTTGTACAGGACTGTAGGCATTCACAGTCAGACTAAAGGAGGATAATCTTAGGGGAGTAACAGGAAGATGTAACTCCTCTGAACATTAAAATATTATTTAATGAAACAAATTCCAGGAAATGGATTTTTGTTGGTGGTGGTGGTGTTCATTTTGGCTTTGGGGTTTTTTCTCTTTAGTGGGGCAAAGGTGGGTGCATAAATGGAGGGAGGAAGGGTGAACAAAATCAACTAGGCAACTTATGGGCAGGGATGAGAGTGGGAAACTGGGGGAAAGTGAAGGAAGAGGTGACATTGTCCAAAACAATAAATGTACTTATTACTGGACTTATGAAATGGCAACCCCTCTGTATAACACCTTAACAACAACAATAAAATTTTATATTTTAAAGCAATAAATTATATATATATATATATATATTTTTTTTTTTTTTTTTTTTTTTTTTTAAGTAGCCAAGCCTCCCTGGCCAAGACGATGACACCCCCCAGGCAACTACAGGGTAAGGCCCAAGCGTCCTCCAATACCAAGAATAGCTCTAGTTGATAAGGAATGTGGCAGTGGGCACTGGGGCCACTTCCAAAACCAAAACCTTGGTAGTACAGTACAGCACTCTTGGGAGCCTAGCAGACAGAAGAGGAATGCACCCTCAGCCTCCACACCGGGAGGCCCAATGAACTGTACTCAAAAGAAATGGAGTCAGGTCACAGAAATGAGAGTCTGGCTCTTACATAGCCAGGCAGGGCCTAGGCTTCATCCAGCCAGTCCTGCAGTCTGGCTGTTTGCAGCACTATAGAATGGCAGGCCCTGTGTCCTGCCCTTTCCCAGGTTCCCACCCAACCATGTCCACTGGGAAACCCACAGCCAGCTGAGCCCAGATCAGCATTCACCAAATCTAAGCTATATCAAGGTCTACCCCCTGGACACAGGAGCCATCAAGAAGCCGGGACTGACTGAGAAGTCATTGATTTCTGCCTGTCATCCTCGCCAGGCTGGGAACACCTCAGAGGCAGGACTTGTACTTAACCATCACCACACGCCTGATGCCTCACTCAGGGCTGCACAAAGCAGGTGCTTAGTCAATATTTGCTGAGTAAGGGTCAGTGGGAACCCCACTCTGACTCTGCACTCCAGCCTGCTTACCTGGTACCACGAGTAGGCCCGGTCCGCTGGATTGATGAGGATGGTGAGGATCTTGGCCTTGGGCAGTAGGGCTGCTGCCCGCCGTGGCGCGACTTCAGAATCAAAGTAATTGGCGCTTTTCTCAAAGTAGAAGTCGGAGGTGGTATTGGAGGGGATAGGGAAGAACTCCATGTACCTGCAGAAAGCCAGACAGGGACATGGTGAGGGTTGCTGAGGGCAGACATTCCTCAGAAAGCAAGCAGGCCACACTGCCCCAGACAACCAGGACTCTCCCCTGGCAAGGAATGGCCACTAGATAGGCTCCTGTTCAAATCTGATCCTTTCAGTAGAGGCTATGGAGTCAGGAGGGTTGAAGACTCTGGGTGTGGTGTGAGTGGTGGGGCAGGTGTGGGAGCTGTGCCATTCTATCCTAAGCCCTAGATGCTCCCACAGCTAACTGACTCTGCCCCTGGGAGCTAGCTGTGGCTCCGTGTGGCTCCCTGCAACCTGGGGAGGACCAGAGGAGAAGGGAGCGAGGCCTCTAAAGAGTGAGCTCTCTGCTGGGCACTGGTGGCTCAGGCCTGTAATCCTAGCTATTCAGGAGGTTGGGATCTGAGGATCGCAGTTCAAAGCCAGCCCAGGCAAGAAAGTCTGTAAGGCTCTTATCTCCAATAAACCACAAAAAAAACGGAGGTGGGGCTGTGGCTCAAGTGGTAGAGTGCTCACCTTGAGCTGAAGAGCTGAGGGACAGCACCCAGACCCAGAGTTCAAGCTCCCCCCCCCCCAAAAAAAAAGAGTGCGCTCTCTTTCCAGTCTGTATGTGTGGACCTGAAGACCAGAAGGATCACCTCCTGTCACCATACACACTGTACCTGCACCCCTGGCCTGCTGTACATGAACACCTGTCACCATACCCACACTCCTGGCCTGCCCATGCGCATAGCCTTCTAGAGAACTGTCCCACATCCCACCCTGAGAGATGACCACCTGCATAAATTTAACCAACACCCCAACTCTCCCAGGGTTCCTACCATGTAAGATAGATGTGTCAATTGTCAATTCATGGGAAACAAGACATCCTAATTAAGTGTGAAGAAACTCTACTCTTTTCTTATCAAAGGAATCCCAAGGACCCCTCTGACAAAATCACCCAGGGCTTGTTTGATTCCAGTGACCACCTAAGGCCCACCCACAAAACCAAAGAATCTTCCTATCTCATATTTCTGAATTCTCTTTGTAAAATCTAACTTGGGAAAGCAAAGAAAGCAGAAGCTTTGTTTCCTAAGCTTATACCAAAGCCATTTGGCAACAACACCCAACTTCTTGATCTTACTGTATAAATATTCATAGGCCTTGCCGCAGGCATGTTAATGTATTGCCCTGTGGAAGGCGTCACTAAGCAGAGGCCTCACACCATATTACCTTTCTAAATTCAAATATGCTGCCTTTTGATGAATACATCTGGCTATAAGGGGTTTTAGATAAAAGAGGAGACATGTTAGACATACAGAAATAAGATATATAGGTACATAGGTACAGGGATAGACAGACACATGGGCAGACATACCAGATGACAGATGGACAGAGAGATGATAGGCAGATGAAAGACAGACATATCAACAGAAAAAGACAAAATCCCATAGTCTCCACCCAGAATGTCCAATAACCTAGGAACAACAAATAAAGATAATATATATTCATACAAGACTTAAAAATTGAAAAATAAAACACCCCACACTGGCCCCCACACACTTAAGGTGACATCTGGGGAAAATTCTGGCGGGGAAGTTGTGACTCTACTCACTTCACGAGAAGCCGTCCAATACCTTTGGAGGCCTCCCAAGAATACCTTCTCCCCACATCTGGCCAATTGCAGAGAGAAAAGTTAGAATACTTGGTCAGAATACTTGGACTTTCACCGGAAGATCTCGGAGTGTGGAGTGAACCCCTCCCCTCCTCTAGTACTCATATGCTTCCATGCAAGCAAGGAGAGGGCTGGATTCCAAGTTTAGCAATCTCTGCCCGAGGTCATGCAGCAGCTCAAAGTGCTTTCCTATCAATCATCCCATCTGTGACAAAGCTCTCCCACCAGGACTCCCTGTTTATAAACACTTCCGCTGCGTGTGAGCACGTGCCAGCTGTTCCCTGTTAGGCCCTGCAGGCCTCTCCAGATGGCTCCACGATGGCCTCCAGTCCTGCTATGTAGAGAAAGGCCCCTTACCAGTCAATGCCTTTGTGGTAGTTGTGACCATTAAAAAACTGGATCTCTTCAAAAGTCTCTGAGCTGGGGTAGTTGCTGCTTAGGTCTGGGTGCATGCCCAGGAACAGATAGAGGGCTGTGGTACCTGTAGAAAGGGAGGAAGCCGAGACCATGGCTGAGCCCACAATGGAATCTGGGTTCTGGGCCTACCTCCACAATACTCAATGGAGGTGTTAGAAAAGCAGCTTGCTTTCCCTAGGTCTTAGGTTTCCACATCCATATAAGAAACAAATTGTACTAAATCCAAGATGGCAAGTAGGGCATGCATGTGGACACCCCAACTCCTATACCCCTTGAAGACATCACTAATCTATTACAGCACCTTTTATCATAAAACAAGGACTTGGCCTTGGAATCCTCTTACCACTGAACTCTGGCAGCCATGTGAGATGGACTAATGTCTCCTCTGAACCTTACAGCTAGATGTTTCCTGCAGCTCCTCTCTAGCCCTGGACATTTGTTCGGTCTAGCACTTGGGCACAACCCAGGGAAAGGGAGCTCTGACCCTCAAGCTGTTAATGTGAGACATTTGTGCATTCATTCATTCGTGTCAGAGTCTTGCTATGTTACCCTGGATGACCTCAAATTCACAATTCTCCTGCCTAATCTCCTGAGTGCTGGGATTACAGGTATGTACCACAGTGCTTGGCCTATGTGAAATTCTTAAGAAGCCAAGACTTCCAGTTCTGATGGAGTTCTTAGAGGTGCCCTCCCCTTATTCTCTCTCCCCTTCTTCCTCCTAAGGAGACCTTCCATAAGCTTCAGGGTCAAGTCCTGGAACCAATCTGGTTGATCATTTTCTTTTCTTTTCTTTTTGTCAGTTGTGGATCTTAAACTCTGGGCCTGAGTGCTGTCCCTCAGCTCTTCAGCTCAAGGCTAGAGCTCTACCACTTGAGTTACAGGACCACTTCTGGCCTTTCCTGTTTATGTGGTGCTGAGGACTTGAACCCAGGGCCTCGTGCATATGAGGCAAGCACTGTACCACTGAGCCAGTTTCCCAGCTCTGGTTGATCATTTTCTAACCAAGTATACTACAGCAAGTTACTTAACTTCCTGAACATTGGCTTCCTTCTTTCCTTCCTTCCTTCCTTTCTTTTTGGTAGTCATGAGGCCTGAACTCTGGGCCTGGGCACTGTCCCTCAGCTCTTCAGCTCAAGGCTAGAGCTCTACTACTTGAGTCACAGGACCACTTCTGGCCTTTCCTGTTTATGTGGTGCTGAGGACTTGAACCCAGGGCCTCGTGCATATGAGGCAAGCACTGTACCACTGAAACCACTGAACCAGTTTCCCAGCTCTGGTTGATCATTTTCTAACCAAGTATACTACAGCAAGTTACTTAACTTCCTGAACATTGGCTTCCTTCCTTCCTTCCTTCCTTCCTTCCTTTCTTTTTGGCAGTCATGGGGCCTGAACCCTGGGCCTGGGTGCTGTCCCTCAGCTCTTCAGCTCTACCACTTGAGCCACGGTGCCACTTCTGGCTTTATTCTGCTTATGTGGTGCTGAGGAATCGAACCAAGGGTCTCATGCATGCAAGGCAAGCGCTCTACCACTGAGCCACCTTCCCAGCCCCTTTCTTCCTTTTTGTTTTGTTTTTTTTCCTTTTTGGTACTGTGAGACTATGTAGCACAGGCTGGCCTCAAACTCTCCATCCCCTGCCTGCACCTCCTGAGTGCTGGGATTGCCGACATGTACCACTACACCAGTTGGGAGTTTCTTGTCTATAAAATGGAAGCATCCATTTAGGCCTTACAGAAACATGTGCATGGTAAATGCTCTTCAATCACATCAATGCTTCCTGCCCTGCACCTCCAGCAGACACGACTAACTGATCATTCCTCTTTGCCTGACACTGTGCACACTTGCAGAGAAGCTGATCAGGCCTCCTTTCTGCCTAGGCTCAGAGACTCCCAGGAGGACCGAAGGAGCACTACTAAGGCAATGGTTCACCCTCCACTCCCTTCCAATCTCCATGGTGATGGGCAATTCATGTTTGCTCTAAGTTACTCCCACTTTTGGGAAAAGAAAGGCAGGTAGTCCCCAGAGGTTGGTGGTGTAAGACAGCAAGGGTATAGAGAGACCTACCTGTTTTCTGGGGCCCGATGATGAGGAGCTTAGGGAAGCGGTCACATGTCTTCTCCTTGGACCAGATGTCTTTGTGGCGTTTGTCTTCACAGGGGTCCTAAAACACCATGGACAGGAAGTAAGGGAGGCCCGGAAACCCACGATGAAACAGACCCCCACACACTGCATCTGTGGCCTGACACAGGGATGTATGGCCCCAACCATGGGCAAAATGCCTATACATACCCTCATCACATCCTTACGTCTAGACACTGAGCTATGACAGGCATAGTTGGTGTCATGTCCCCCACAGAGCCTGGCTAAATGCCCAGCTGGACTAGTAATGCCTGAACCAGGGGTCAGTGAGCTTTTCCTCCAGAGTTCAGTAAGCCTTTTGGGAAATGTTTAGTAAACACTGGAGGTTTTGGATGCTATCTCTGCCACTGTGACATGAGAGCGGTGCGCCAACAGTATTCACGAGATTGAGCAGGAGTGGGGCTGGTGCCAAGAAAACGTTCTTTAGAGAAACTGGCCAAGAATAGATTCAGTCAGGAGTTGTGGTTTATGGACCTCTGGTCTGAACTGCAAATGTGCCACAAGTCTAGCTCCTGCTTCCAACTTTTAACAGCCAGGAGGTGCAGACTTTCCCAAGGACAGCTCCAAACCATCCCCTCAGTCTTTTCCCAATGGCTCCAAGCTGAAGGGGCATGAGAGGCTTGAGAAGAGTCTCCTGAGGCGGCGCAGTCACCCTCTACACTTCAGCTATATGAGATTACCTTTTTTTGGAGGGGGGGGGTTGGTCATGGGGCCTGAATTCTGGGCCTGGGCGCTGTCCCTCAGCTCTTCAGCTCAAGGCTAGCATTCTTCCATTTGAGCCACAGGGCCACTTCCGGCCTTTTCTGCTTATGTGGTACTGAGGAATCGAACCAAGGGCCTCATGCATGCAAGGCAAGCACTATACCACTGAGCTACCTTTCCAGCCCCTCACCAGCAGTTCTTAAAGGCTGTCTTTTCCAAAGCTGTGTATGAGTTCATGATGCACCGAGAAGGGAGGTGTGTACCTATGTGTAGGTGTGAACATATGTGCACAGGAACCAGTGTATGCCCACCGGTGAGCAAACAGCTACCTGAGCTGCTACTCGAGAAGGTGTGGAATGGAAAGGCCAAGTCTCAACCCATGCTGAAGCAAGGCATAAGGCCACCCTGACCCACCTGCCAGAGTGGGTCCTTCTCCTCAGAAAAGATCTGGAAGTACTTCTGAGCCAGCTGTACCGGGGGCAGAGTTTGAAGCCGCAAGTTGGTCCAGGAGTTCAGGAAGCGCACCAGGTGCTTGAAGGTATACAGGCCCAGGCGGTCATTCCCATAGTTGGACAAGTGTGTCATGAAGATGCTGATCTGCTCCAGGAGCACAGGAGTGAAGCAGCAGCCAGTGAGCACTGAGCTGCCATCACTCTCACCACCATCATCCCAGCCCTGCTGCAGGCTGCCCAAGACCAGTGCAAGGCGCACTGGGCCATCAGCAACCTCAGTGTGTGACCTTGAGCCACGCAACGCCAGGACAAACCCAAGTGTGACTGTCCCCCCAAACCTAAAGTGAAAGGGTGACCTGTTTAGGAGCTATTGTTTTATTAATTTGGAGGGGGTAATATATGTGGGACATGAAGAGAACAGAGTCCATTTTGAGCCACAGTATCACTTCTGGTTTCTGAGTGGTTAACTGGAGAAAAGAGTCTCATGGGGACTTTTCTGCCTGGGCTGGCTTGGAACCATGATCCTCAGATGTCAGCCTCAAGTAATCACTGGTGCCCGGATGATTACTTCCATTTCACAAACCAGGAGAGACCCAGGAAGCTCAAGTGAAGGGTGTGTGTGTGTGTATGTGTGTGTGTGAGTGTGTGTGTGTGTGTGTGTGTGTATACATCTGTCTTAGTGCACACAAATGTGCATATACAGGAACACATGTGTGCACGTATGAATGAAGACCAGAAAGAGAATATGCAGAGAAATGCTACTAGTTTTGTAAGAAAGTTTATGAGCATAAAATACAAAAGAGAAAGTTCTGAGGTCTTCCCCCAGCTCAAGCAGCAGAGAAAGGGCAGTGCTGGAACTGGAAGGGCGCTCTCTCAATTTCCAGGCTCTCCTTCTGGCCTCTTTCTTGCCATTCCCCATCCCAAGAAATCCCTGCATCTGCAGAGAGGCTCTGAGCAGCCCCTACCCCCCCCCCCCCCCCAGCAGCAGACTACATAGGACTCACAGGATTGAGGAGCACAGTAAGAAAAAGCTCGCCCCCATTGATGATCTTGTCCAGTTCACTGGAGCCACCAGGGTACTCATTGTAGAAGATGGTGTGTGTAAAGAGGCCACAGGTCTGCCGAGGGAGGACCTAGGACAAGGCAGGAGAGGGGCTGTGATATACCCAGGCATGGATGGTGCTAGGAGGGCTCTTTCCCAGGGGAAGGGCCACGTCTCCTCAGAAACACAGCCCTTCCCCCTGGGGATCCTTGTGACTGCACCTGTGACACCATACCCAGTGAACACAGACCCTTGTCATATCATACTTTGCTGATGTCCTCTGCACAAACAAAGCAGGCTCAAGAGTAGCAGAATAACTTTCTGAAGCCTAGACCATTTGCAGTGAAGATTCTGTAACAGGTCTCTGTCGGTCATAATCTGCAAGCATATCAGCACATCACCTGGTCATGTGCATATCATGCACTAGCTGTCTCCCTTCTGGAAACCAGGCTGTAAGAGAGCCAAAATGGGCCTGTCTTCTCACCAATTAGTGCTCAACATTTAATGTAAGTCCCTAGTATTGAGAAAGTGCATGAATGAATGGATGGACGGACACAGACATATATATGAACTTTTTATTCCTACAGCTGCCCATTTGCACTGATGAAAATACATCCTTCTAATGTCTCAGGCCAGAAACCTTAAGAGTCACTCTTGACTTCTGTCTCCTTCCTAGACCTTACTTCCACCTGGGCAGACGAGGGGCTCCAGCTTCTAACAAGCCCAATTAACAATCATGTCCCCCTCCTGCACTGGGACCCATCTCTCCTCTGGAGGAGGAAGGCAATGGCCTCCTAACTGATTTGCTTGCTTCCACTTTTGTACCCTACACTCTAAACTCCAGGCAACAGGCAGGATGAAGAAATCTTTTTTAAAATGTAAGTCAGACCATGCCCCATTTGAAACCCTCCCACGTTTGCGCAGTAGCTGACGCCCATCAATGACCACCCTTCCATAGCCCTATGCCTTCTGGCCTATCACTGCTCTGACATCCATCATCTCCTCTCACTTCTTCCCCTCCAGACACACTGATCTACTAGCTGGTCCTCTAACACACCCAGCACAAGCCTGCCTCAGGGCCTATGCACTTGCTGCTTTCTCTGTCTTCAATGTTCCTCCACCAGTAGTAGCATGGCTTACCCCAGGAAGACTTTCCCTAACCCTTACTCACAGCCCCTCCCCTACCTCTCTTCTCTGTTTGCCTCTCCCTAGGCACCATCATCATCTGATTAGTATATACATTACACCTCCATAAGCACGTTGTCTCTTGCCACTAGAATTCCAGCCAGGTCTACAAAGCCAGAAACTTGTCTGCTTTGTGCACACTTCTATGTCCCCAATCCCTAGAAAAGAATTTACACGTTGTAAAAGCTCAAGAGAAGTTTTTAAGTGAGGAAATGGGTCTAACAGCTCCATCTCTCATACTCATCAGAACCCCTTTGAAGACTGCTCACTCCTAGATCCTCTGTCACAAAATCTAAGGAGTTCATAGAAGTGGGCGAACTGACGGTGCACCTTCTGCAGGATGGATCTCAGAGGGCCACAGTGGGAGCATAATCTGGCCCGCAGTACCTATGCCAGCTCAGCACAGCCCTGCTTCCCAGGATGGCACCTGCACGTGCCTGCTACCCACCACCCCCTCCTCCTGCTGCCGGGGCCACTTGCCATAATGCCGTTGTGGATGAAGCCACGGCGGTAGCGGGCTGGCTTCAGGTGGGGGTACTCCTCCGTGCTGGTCACGCGGATGCTCCACACCTGCTTCCAGGCCTCATACAGCTGCACATGCACAGGGTACACACCCGAATGGTGGGGCGCCACTGCGTACCCCATGTCTGTGGGAATGCCATGCTCCTAGGAAGAAGACGAGCAGAACAGGATGAAGACAGGGGTCTTTCTCCTGTAGGCCTTATCCTCACTTTGTAGTATGTGAAAGAAAAATCCAAGGCAAATATAGCCAGCCAGTTGGTCTGAGCCCATATGATGAGACCAGGGCCCAGAAAGAAAAGGGAAGTGTCTAGGATGTCGGACTGAGTGATGGGTAGCACTGGGTCTCCCTCTCCCAATTCTCCATGAAGGACACACATCTTCCAGTTCAGAAGACTCACATACCCCAGAGAGCAGGATGGGAGAGGGGGAGAGGGGAGCTTTCCTGCTCCTCTTGCCCTTAATTGTCCAGGAAGCAAGCCCAAGCTGGTCTACCAAGTATCCATCTTTTCTCACCAAGCTTTCCAGATCTTCCATTCAAGTTGGTGGGAGCTTAATCCCAGGAGAGACACAGGCTGGGGTTTAAGTACTTCTGTGACCTTCTTGAATCTCAGTTTCTTTTTTTTTTTTTTTTTTTTTTTGTCGGTCGTGGGGCTTGAACTCTGGGCCTGGGCGCTGTCCCTCAGCTCTTCAGCTCAAGGCGAGCGCTCTACCACTTGAGCTACAGCGCCACTTCCATTGAATCTCAGTTTCTTGTCTATAAAGTTTGACTACTGGGCTGGGAAGGTGACTCAGTGATAGAGCGCTTGCCTTGCATGCATGAGGCCCTGGGTTCGATTCCTCAGCACCACATAAGCAAAAAGAAAAAAGCCGGAAGTGGCACTGTGGCTCAAGTGGTAGAGCGCTAGCCTTGAGCTGAAGAGCTGAGGGACAGTGCCCAGGCCCAGAGTTCAGGACCCATGATCAACCAAAAAAAAAAAAAAAGTTTTGACTATTCTCTTCTCTTATGGCGTGTGTGTGTGTGTGTGTGTGTGTGTGTGTGTGTGTGTGTGTGTGTGTGTGTGTGTGTGTGTGTGTGTGTGTGCATGCTCATGCGCACGCTAGTACTGGGGTTTGAACTCTGGGCCTAGGTGCTGTCCCTTAGTGTTTTTGCTCAAGGCTAATGCTCTAATTGAGCCACATCTCCACTAGGACTTTTTGGTGGTTAACTGGAGAAGAGAGTTTCATGGACTTTCCTGCTCGGGCTGGCTTCAAACATGGATCCTCAGATCTCAACCTCTTGATTAGCTAGGATTATAGGCCTGAACAAGTAGCTTCTCTTGAGGCTTTCAGACTGCTACAAAGGTAGCACTTGCCCCAGGTCCTGGAATGAAGCTGGTATAAAACTCTGTAAAAGTGGGCTGGGAAGTTGGCTCAGTGGTAGAGCGCTTGCCTTGCATGCCTGAAGCCCTGGGTTCGATTCCTCAGCACCACATAAGCAAAAAGAAAAAAGCCGGAAGTGGCGCTGTGGCTCAAGTGGTAGAGCGCTAGCCTTGAGCTGAAGAGCTGAGGGACAGCGCCCAGGCCCAGAGTTCAGGCCCCACGACCGGACCCAAAAAAAATATAAAAAAAAAAAAACTGTAAAAGTATCAGGAGGCTGGAAGTACAGGTCCCCAGCCCAGCCCCGCCCTTCAGCACCCTTCCCCCTCCTCCAGCTCTGCCCTGTAGGGAATCTTACTCACGACAGCGAACTTCTTGTTCAGGGCCATCTGCTCAGCCAGCACAGACTGGTTGTGGAAAAGGTGTGGCTGCATGTGGCTCCACATGTGGGGGAACCACCAGAACTCCTTCACATAGGACAGCAGCAGGTCATCCCCAGCATCCTCCGCATCAGTACCTGCAGCACAAGGACAGCTCTCAGCTCCCACAGTTCAGCCGTGAGGCCTTTAAATGAGCCCCAGTGGAATACACAGCCCCCACAGGAGCAGGGTGGAGGAACACAAAACACAGGTTCTAGTCTAGCCTAGTCTAGTCCTGCTTCACAAGTGTCCATGGCTGACCTTTTTTTCTTTGGGCCTTTTGGGGTTTGGCATCAACAATCCCAATCCCAAGCATTTTCTCTACTGTTCACGTGTCTGGTCTGAACTCATTGCAATGGTCCAAATGGGGTCCTCTGCCTTTTAGCTACCAATCTATGCACAGGATGCTAAACCTCTGTCTCACATGTATTATTACAACCACTTCTGCCAGGCTAAAGGGTAAGAATATTACAAAATGTAGATAAGGCTGGGTGCTGGTGTCTCATGCCCGTAATCCTGTCTACTCAGGAGGTTGATATCTGAGGGTCTTGGTTCAAAACCAGTCTGGGCAGGAAAGTCCACAAGACTCTTATTTCCAATTAACTTCCAGAAAACTGAAAAGTGGAGCTCTGACTCAAACCACCAGAAAACTAGAGCTGTGCCTCAAAAGTGGGTACAGTGGGTACAGTGCTAGCTTTGAGGGGGGAAAAATGGTTCAGGGACAGCACTCAGGCCCTGAGTTCAAGCACTACAGTCAACAACAACGAAAGAAATGCAGATGACCAAGCATGCTCCTATTTGGCTTGGGCTATGTCACACATTCTTTCCCTGCACCTTAACTGCTGACCAAGATGGTTCCACCTAGATTCTAGAGAGGCTGCTCTCTCTTGGTAAGCAGAGAACACAGAGGGGGAAGCAGCCACTGCAGATGGCCAATCCATGGTTGTTTTAACTGCCCAGTCCCAGAAGGCAACACAGGAGGAGCTTGAAAGAGCCCCAGAGAAAAAGATAGGTGTGAGCCAGCCCCTCTGCCTCCAAACTAAAGTCAAGACATGGTTCCTGCCAGTGCTGAGGTGGCTACAACTACAAGGTACTTCATTTTCTATGCCACATACTTCTGTAATGTTCTCAGAACTCAGCTGTTTCCTTTATACACACAAAAACAAATCAATATAAGTATTTAAGTGGTGGGAAGATGAGAGAGCGAGAGATCAAGAGAGACCCCACCAAGGACAGCCTGAAAAGCCAGGAAGGGTGCATGGGAACCACTATAGCTGTTTTATTGAGCCCTAAATGCCCTCTGCCTGGGCCTGGGCCTACTCTTGTGGTCTATTGGCTTTGGGGGCCCAGAAGGGTCAGATTTACTCCAGTGTGGCCAGCAAGCCTATCTGGTGACCTGTGACAAGGCTTCAAGAGGTAGACATGGAGAAGGCCCCAGAAGATACTAGTAAGCAGGAGCAAGTTACGTACCTGTGTGGAAGAATTTCCCTGAGTAGCCCAGGTTGAAGGTGAAGTTTGGGATATGTGTGCGTAGTTCATTCTGTGTATCAAACAGGGCCTAGGAAACAGAGAAGAAGGGAAGAGGTGAGGGGAAGTCAGAAACCCCTACACCTTCCATGAGCTCTGCTCCAGCAGGACCAGCCACAAAGCTCACAGGCCTAGTAAGAAAATAGAAATGAGGCCCTTGTTTGAAGGATTATGAAGAATGTTGCACAGGCAACACACACGGGAATCATAGGGTGCTGTAGGAGCCTTTAAATTACCCTGATCCCATCACTAGACTTGTGTATATGTATGCAATATCACCCTTGTACCGAAAATAAAAAATAAAACAACTCAAATTGTAGAGACTAGCAACATGGAGTATTCAGCCATGTATAAGTCCTGTCCATGCAGAGGGCTGGGTGTGTTGTCACAGGTGCACCCCACAAAGCCAGCCAAGACTAGTCTTCAACACTAGGCCAGATTCCTGCCTGGCTCTACCGAATCTTAACAAGACTCAGGACTTCTCTGCACCTTGATTTCTTCAGCTGTGAGAGGAGACAATAGTATCTCCCTCCCTCATGTGACTCTTGGGAGAATGAAGTGAAGCACAGCCTCTGAAAGTACCTGATACATGGTAAGTGAGGAAAGCTGGTGGCTACTGCCAGTCCTTACATGTGGTCACTGCCACCATCTGTGGTCAGAGCCCATATGCCTTTGTGCAAAGGGTTTCTGTGCCCAGTGCAATACAAGGCTGACATCAGGACCCTGAGCTTTCCAAGGATGGACTGCATGCCTGGGCTGTAATGTCCCATGCACAGCACGCATGATACTTGCAGCAAGTTGGTGAAGGGAAATGCGTGCAGCTGAACTCCAGGGGGAGGACTGCATGGTTGTCAGGTTGCTAGGAATCCTTAAGGAGGCTGCTTTCAAACATGTTACCAACTACAAATCCTGGCCCTCCCTAAGGGATACTGTCACCACCTGCATCTGACCAAGGCCAAGCACTGATTACTAGATATGCCTGCTCCAAATAACTTGGCCTTGGGCAAGTTATTTCACCTCTCTGAGCCTCAGTGTGCTCCTCTGTAACATATCAGTCCCTTCACCAGGCTGCTTTGAGAACCAAATGAGATAACACACCAGAGAAGGCTGAGCAGAGCCTGGCACTCATCATGCCCTGAAATGTGCAGCTTCTATGGGTTCTATACACTTTGTGCCACAAGCCAGCACTGTACACACTAGTGAGGAGACATTCACAGTTCTAAGGAAGAACACAGTTGTCAACTGTGTTTGGAACCAAAGCAGAATACATGCTGCCCCTTCCTACTCCTGAGCTCGTGAGCATGTAGACCTGCTGCAGAAGTGCTTTGCTATCTGCATTTTGCTAAGTGCCCCCTTCCTACTCCTGAGCTCGTGAGCATGTAGACCTGCTGCAGAAGTGCTTTGATATCTGCATTTTGCTAAGTGCCCAGAAGAGGGCGCTTCAATTTGTGTGCTACTGCAGACCTGTCTCGTCTCCTACATGCTGTCATGTCTCTCACTTTAGCAATAGGGAAAGGAGCTGGGAAAAAGCTTTGGGAGCCTGGGGAAGGAGGGCCATGAGTTAAAGGCCAGCCTGAACTACATGTTAAGAGCCTGTCTCAAAATAAGTAAGCAGAAAAAAAAAAAGAAAAGAAAAGAAAATGGGCCCCTGTTGGTGCCGAGTTTAACCACCCTGTAATCTCCAGAATAGCCCCTCTGGGGGCTTCTTGCCCCTTGTTGAGTGGTATCACACTGGGCCTATTGTGGGAGGGAAGGAAGAAGGGAGGGAGGGAAGGAGGGAGGGGTGCTCCCTATAGGCAAGGCTTTGCCAGCTGCTGTCATGGCAGCTCTTTTGTCCCCTTTTTTGGCTGCTGTGACCTGTGCCTCAAAGATAGCAAAGACTGCTGTTCCTCCTGGCCACAGACACAACCACACACGCTCCCAGCACAGTGAAGGGGTTTCTTGAACTGTAGCCCTGCACAGAACAGAGGCTGCTCTTTCTGGCAGCACTGACCTGAGCTTCTCAAGAGTTAATTGACTTGCTGTATATTCTGTACATTGTATGTTGTATAGTATGTAATGTTGTATATTATGTAAATATTCAACTATGTCACTCGAGGGTAGGGGTGAGGGGCAGAATGATGGGTGACATTGATCAAGGTGCTTTGTAATCACAACCTGACAAATGGAATTGGAACGTCTTTGTATAGCTACTTAATTTTTTTTTAAAGAGTTCATTGGTTTATGTAAACAAGGAAAGAAGGAAGACATGAAGGTCCATCAAAGGTTCCCTAGAAAAAGAAGCGCAAGCCAGGAAAGCAGGGCACTAGTCTGGGCTCTGCCTGAGATCCTAGCTACTTGGGATGACACCATCCAAGGGTGATAATTTGAAGCCAGTATGGGCAGACCAATCTACAAGACTTATCTCCAATTTACCATCAAAATCCTTTAATACTTAAGTAATGTATATAAGCTAACATATGTATATGTAAATGTATATAAGCTAATTAAAAAAGACAAAAGATAATAAAAGTGACAAAAGAAAAAAAATGGGAAAAATAAGAAGCCAAAATGGGCAACAGAAATGTAGTGAGCTCAGCAGCTACAATACACACTGCCTGGGAGACTCAACCTGGACTGCAGTCTCCCAGTGAATTGCCCTGGCCCTGGGTCCAAGCAGGAGAGAACCAGATTAGGACTGGAAGAGCATCCTATAGAGGAAATGGGGTAGTCTGCTTTGTCAGAAGTCAGTGGTGGCATCAAGAGAAGATGTTCAGATGGAAGGCTCAACTATAATAAACCTGTAAATTTTCCTTCTGCAAGAGCCCTTGAGGAAACAAAATGTCAGGAAGAAACACAATGCAAAAGGGTAGATCAAAGCCACTGGCCTAACCGGCTTCAGCAGCCTGGAGAGCTGGGGGTAGGGCTAGGGCTGGAGAAAGGAAATGGGTATAGGAGGTGGCAGCTGTGTGTGGGACAGCAGGGAGGGGGCGCGGGGGGGGGGGGGGGTGACCTTCCCTCACACCAGCTGGCCAGGCAGCTCGGTGAAGTGAAACCTAGGTGCAGTCAACAACAGTGTAGTTTCCAGCAGAGGCTCAGTGATGGGAAGTGACTTGCCCAAGTTGCGTATCAGGGCGACCATGGGACTTGACTTGACCAAATGAGGTCCTAGCCTGTCACAGAGTGCCAGCTCCCCTACCACTTCCACTCTGCCCCTTTCATCTGGGGTATAAAGAGATGCAGAGAGTCCCATCTGATCATGACAGGACCCCTTTTTTTCAGACCTCAGGTCAACCCCACCAGGAGACTTCAAGTGCATGAACAGCACAGCACAGCAAGTCCACACTGCTCAGGGAGGGAGGTATTCCTCTCATGAGTCCATTTAAAGCCTCCTGAAGCATGGAAGAGAGGTTTTGGTTTGGTGCTAATATGTTTCTAACACTTGCTAATCTCCTGTAAGGAGGACACCCGGTCAGCAGACAGCAGTGTCTCAGAATTTAATCCCTTGTTTTGTTTCCATTGGATTTATTGTTAGGGCTGACCCCTGGCTGAGCAACCCACGCGGATACCCACTTACACTACCATGCACCACTTACACTTGCAAATAACTTTCCGTAAAATGCTGAGTAGATGAAAACTGAATTTTAAACACTGCTTGATAGCCTTACTCTGAAGCTTTCCCTTTCACGTGGACAGTTCACGTGTGAGGAAAATTTTGTGCTTTGCACAGTGCTCTTATGTACGGTTCTGTTGATAAATACTTTTTGAATTCAACATATGCATTGTACTACCTATATATACCGCAGTCAAAATACATTGCCTGTGTGATTCAGGCCACAGGTGATGAAATAATCCCAGTTATGTGAGAGGTAGAAAGCTACAGGTAGGAGGATACTGCTCTATGGGCTCCAGGCAACCTATGTAAAATAGAACTAATGGGGGGAAAGGGGAGGGGCCTGGGAGTATAGTTCAAGTGGTAGAAGGCCTGACTAGCTAGTTTGAGTCACTCAACTCAAACAAACATTTCATAGGAGCTCTGGCTCTCGCTAGCCAGCTATTGGTGGTTCTGGGTATGAAGTCAGGGCCTTGCCTTCTGGGCAGGTGGTTCTATCCTTGAGCTATGTTCCAGGCTTGGAGCTCTGATATTTACTCAAACCTTTCATGCATAAGCCAGGCACCAGTGGCTCACTCCTGTAATCCTTCCTAATCAGGAGGCTGAGATCATGGTTCAAAGTTAGCCCAGGGAAGAAAAATCTGTGAAACTATTATCTCCAATTAACCACCAAAACGCTAGAAGTGAAGCTGTGCCTTAAGTGGTAGGGCACTAGCCTTGAGAAAAATAGCTCAGGACCAGCACCCATATTAAAACCTTTTGAATGAGAAAGAAGAAATATCTTATACTAAGCAAAAGAAAAGAAGTGTACATATCACCCTATTTGGAAGAAAGAGTTGTATTGTCAAAGTTTGAGAGGTTCACAAGCTTTATATAGTGTGATAATGACAATTCACCTTGTAAAAGTTAAAATGTGTTTGTGACTTTAGCTAAGTATCACTATCCTACAATATTGTGAAGTTTATATAATCACTTAATCTCAATTAAAAAATTAAAAAAACACCTTTTATGTGTGATATTGGTGTTTGAAATCCGGCCTTAAGCGTGCTTGGCAAGCACTCCACCACATGCCACTTAAGGGCCACACTTCCAGCCTTTGTCCAAGTTAGGTTCTTGCTTTTTTGTATAGAACCAGCATAAGATTTGGATTCTCCTATCTCTACCACCTGAGCGGCTAGGATTACAGGGATGAGTCACTGCACCCAGCTGACAAACATTTTTAAGAGTTAAACCAAGCATAGTGGCACATACCTATCATCCAAGCTATGGAGAAAACATATTGTGACTCAGGCCTGCCCTGGACAAAAAAAAAAAACAAAGACAAACCAACCCCTATTTGAAGAATAAGAAAAGCAGAAAGGGCTGGGGATATGGTTCAAGTGGTAGAGTGCCTGTCTGGCAAGCCAGAGGCCCTAAGTTCAAACTCTAGCCCACTCTCCCTCCCATCCCTGCAAAAAAAAAAGAGCAGATAAATGGCAGTTTGGGTGACCGGGTCTCTTCTTCTGTAGATAAACACCTGAACTCCATAGCCTAGATGCAAAATTCCTCTAATTTTTTCCACAAAGATTTTAATGGCACTTGTTTCTACTAAGACAATAATAATAATAATGGGGGGGGGGGGGGTTGTAGGCTTTTTTTTTCTTGACAGTACTAGGACTTTACTAGACTTTGCACTTGCTAAGCAAGTGATTCTACCAGCCCCTTGTTACACTGCTTATTTTTATAACCATGTTTAACAGTATAACAGTGTAACTTTATGCCCAGCCAGTATGGGCTGCAATCCTCCTAATTGTACTGTGTTGCTGAGATGTCAGGCACATCTCCGTACCTCATAGCTTTCCTCACAGCTTTGGCACACCCAACCATTGGTCAAGATAGAATCATGTGAACTTTTCATTTTGCCCAGGTTGGAACCACAAATTCCCACTTCCCAAGCAGCCAGCAGTTCAGGCTTAATCCACTGTGCCTGGCAACGGGGCTTCACCAACAAGTAGCACAGGGGCCGGGCAGACCAGGGAGCATCATGGTGAAAATGTGAAGTCTTACCTTTACATCCTCCACCTTCATGCGCGTGCCCTCTTTGCCCACAAAGATATCATCGATGTCCACCAGGATGTAGCGGTCCAAAGGCAGCGACAGGCGCTTGCCTGTGAGGAAGGCCACAGCATCCACGAAGACTAGCTTGTGCAGCCAGAAATTGAGGTTGTTGCCAAACAGCACCCGCTGGATGCCATCATGGAGGCCCAGGTCCTGGACCACAGTGGCGTGCAGAGCGGCATGCAGGCTGGCGTCAGCACCCAGGTGGGGGATGGACTCCGAGGAGCGCGTCTTGGCCAGCAACACCGGTTCGTACGTGGAGTGGTTTGACTGGAACACGGTCCAGTCCTCCCCAGGCAACACACCCTTCTCCACCTCGCTGGGCCGCGTCACGTACAGTAGCGGGGACTTGGGGTTGATGCTGCAGTCCTTCAGGCCCAGGTTGGAGTGCAGGAAGAGGGGGAAGCCTTTGAGCTGTGCACTCAGCAGGCTGTTCTCGTTGGCCTGCAGCCAGGGTGGGGAGGAAGGGAATACAGCTGTCAGGTCCAGAACTCTGTGCCAGCAGAGCTGACCACAGCCCAGCCCATTCCCCCATCCCCGCCAGAGTGAAGGTGTACAACTCAAAGACAGCCTGCACACAGCAGTGCTGCCCAGCCTCCCAGTAGACCTGCAATGCCATGCTGTCAACCCCATTCCACAGGTGATGAGGTGGGGCCCAGAGAGGCTAAGTCACACACACAGCAAAGTCTAGCAGGTGACACATTGGTAGTAGAGACTACCAGGCATCCTGGCCTCAGGCAGGCTGTATCCCCTCTCCAGCGTCAGTTTCCTCTGCCATGAAGTATGGCTAGTGGACGGGGATGTGGCTCAGTGGTAGAGTGCTTGCCTAGCATTCACAAAGCCCTGGGTTCGATTCTTCAGTACCACATACCAGAAGAAGCTGGAAGTGGGTGCTGTGGCTCTAGTAGAGCGCAAGCCTTGAGCACAGAAAGGCTCAGGGACAGTGCCCAGGCCCTGAGTTTAAGCCCCACGACCAGCAAAAAAAAAAAAAGTATGGCTAGTAATAGCGGCTACCTTAGAATGGAGGGAGGAGGATGGATGTTGGCACTGACAAGGTGCTGAGCACAGGGCCTGTGGCCTGAGCACACTCAGTGTTCACATCCACCTTGGCACAGGAGAGGAAACTGAGGCTTGGAGCAGAAGCTGCTCTACATACACAGTGACCCACTATCTGGAGCCAGGCTCAGCAACCAAGAGTTTCTGAACATGCTTTGGCCACGCAGTCCCTTCTTCAGGAAGAATCTGAGATTAGTGCCAATGCAGAAGACCAAAGAAGACATGACCTCTGGGGTAAAAGAGCTCTTCCCACAGCACCCTCCCCCCAGGTCCCCTTGCACCCTCACAGGTGTGACTCCCATGTCCACCCGTCCCTCCTGGCAGTCATGAGGCTGGTCTCTGACTAGTTCCCTGTGCGTCTCTATAGACCTCCAGCTTACCATCATCTCCTCCTGGTAGCCTTGAGCTCCTGCTTCTTCACGCCCTCCTAGCCACCTGACTCTGAATAAGGTACAACTGGTCCTTGTTCCTATGACAGTTCCATTCTTCCTGTGCTGGAAAGCACCTCAGCTTTCCAAGCCCAATGCATTTGCCTTCTCCTCTACAGACAAGTAAAGGAGGGGTGCACAAACTCAAATCTTCATGCATCCCACTGTACTCTGCCTGGGGACCACATGGAAACCTCAACTACAGTGGTTCTCATCACAGCTACTGCCTATCTATTCACGGTCTCTCTCCCTGAGGACAAGGGCTACCCACTTCCCTGCTCTGGCTCCCTGAGCTCCAGTGGGATAAATATGTGCTTTAAAAAAAAAAAAGAATGAAAAAGGGAACAGACAGCTGCTTGTACCTGGCACATGACCACTGTTTATTACAGTTTCGTTTGTTCATTCCACAATCCTTCATGTGTTTTGTGCTGTCTGAGTATGGAACGAGATACAGTGAGGAAGCAGTGTTTATAGTATTAAGTGCAGTGTACACATTGAGAAAAACAGACATGACCTCTGCCCTCATGAACTGTAAACACTGAGCAAGGGGGGAAAATATCCACTAGAACCCAGGAATAAACAGCAAAGTCCATAGTGCACATGATAGCAGAGAGGTTTGCAGCTGTAGCTATGCAGGTGCCTGGTAGTCCGCTGGATCTGGAGGCTCCTAGAAAAAGGGGACTTTGAACGAACACTTGAAGGATGAGTAATCTGCTGAGGTTCAGGCAGGAGTCAAGTCTAAGAACAGTAAGTGCAAAAGGCCTAAGGTAAGAAAAGGAAGAGCAGGAAGACCAAGAGGCCAGCAGAGAGACCAAGAAGGGAAAGAGATGAGACCAGCAGGATCCAAACCTGAAGGGCGAAAGTGCTCAGGCAGGGATGGCAGGTTACCATTTGCATCTTGGATGGATCTGTGCAATGCCACGTGCAGAGTAAGTTAAGTGGATGGGGTAAAGTAAAAGTGGACAGAGGGCATGGGTACAATGGGTTTAGAGAGCAAGGTAGGGTTGTGTCCAGGGTTTTATGGCAGATAGCTAGTAGTGAGCGGGGGTAGGGTCTCAGTTAAGACAGGACAGAGCTGTGCCAGCCCAGAACTAAGTGTTTTGCTAGTCCCCTCCACAGATGGCCTCTCTTCTTATCTCTACAAAGGCTGCAGAAGGTCTGACCTTGTGAACTGTAGTAAGAAGAAAAACTGAATTCTCTAAAGGCCAGGCAGCAACTCCTTCCATCTGTTTCAACACTGGGCTTAGCCCCACCTCAGAGGTGCTGTACCCCAGCTCCAGGCTCCTTACCACCTCAAATCAGGGTAGGGCCTGCCTGGTGTGTGTGAGGCCTGCCTGGGTGTGTGTATGTGTGTGTGTGTGTGGCCTGCCTGTGTGTGTGTGCGCACGTGTGCGTGTGTGTGTGTCTGGGCCACGTCAGGCCTGGGAAGACAAGACACTGGACTGTGAGAGCTGAAGGATCACATTTCATTGTCCTGACCCCGGCTGACTGCCAGGTGCTGGCAGCTCATACACCAAGGAAGAGAAACACCAAGCTGCTGACAGCTACCCAGTCAACAATAAAAGATGCCAGCCAGGAAAGGAAAGGGGAGCCTGGACACCACGAAGGCCAGCCCTACAGCAGGCCTCAGCCTGGACTGGGAATCCCTCTCACTACTCGGTGCAGAGGACCTGCACAAGAGACACTGACTCTTCCAAAGGGGCCACTCCAGCAGAAGAAGGAAGCCTGCACCAGGAATGGGAGACATAATCGTTAACTGGCTGGGTGTCCTGGGAAACCCACATCCCCATTCTGGGCCTCAGCTCCTCCACCGAACAGATCTCTCTTACAGTCTCCTGTGGTCAGATCAGAAGCAACAAGCTTGGTGGGCAAATCTTGGCTTACAAGCTATGTCACTCTGGTAAAGCCATTTCATTTTTTAGCTGCAGGTCCTGACCTGAAAATAAAGTACCTACATCATAGACAACTGCAGAAACTTAGCACTATTAACACACAAAAAGCAACACTGGGGTCTACCACATCCTCAGTGTTCCATGAAAGATGTCAGGAGGCCTTTGCCACCCAACCTCTGCCATAGTGTATTCAGATCTAGGGCACCTAGAGTTGTAAGGCTGAGGCAATCTGCTTCTAATATTGAACCCACGGTCTGGAGTTTCAAGCAGCTGTTTTCACAATGCCCTGAAGTATTTGACCTGATGCCCACCTTGCAGAAAGAGTGGAGATGCACCTTGACCACCAGAGGGCTCCCATTTGAACAGAAAATTCCAGACCTCTGATCAAAACCAAGGTGAGTAGGTCTGATTCAACAGGGTAGGAAGAGACCACAAAAAGACTCTGAGTATGTCTGCCCTTCATGAGCAAGGACTTGGGGCTGACTAGAGTCCCTGCTCTGTTGTACAAACTGTGCCCAATACTCTTCACCCACTGCCTAGTCCCAGAAACTGTGGGTATCCATCAGAGGCACATGTGGCCTGCTGCAAACTTTTACTAAGTAATGGGCAGGGCAGCTCTGGGACTCATCACACATTGGTTAACACAAAGGCCTCTTAGAACCGAACTACTTAGGTTCAGATCAGAGATAACACTTTGTAGAAGTGTGGATTTGACCCCATTTCTTAACCTCCCTCTGCCTCAGTTTCTTTCTCTCTTAAATGAGGAAGCCATCTACCTGTCTTGGAGGATGATTATTAGTATGAAGTGAATTAATTTGCACAAAGCATGTAGGCAGTGCATGGCACTGATAGAGCTCTCAATAAATGTCAGCCATTGGGTTGATTTCCAGGCCTGGAGGTCTAAATCAACGTTAATGAAGTTCATGGCAGGAAAGGATAGAGAGACCAGGAAAGAGACACATACACACACCTGTGTGTACCTCTGTGAAGCATTAACTAGGCTAGCATTCCCCAAAGCATGCCCTGTGAAAGAGATCAAGCCAGCAGGGGAGTAGATTTTGCTTGCTAGGCTACTCTACTGCAGGACTTGTAAGGGCTCACAATGCATGCTGCATTCAGATGTGAAATACTCTGCAGGAAACCCTCAAGAGGCCAGCCACACCCAGCACCAAACATAGGGCCCAAGGCAAAATGCACAGGATTACTTGGGAAACGTGGGCAGTCACTTCCAACTTTCTCCTACAAACTAAGCAAGGGTCTGCCCTAGGACCTGTGCACTGAGCCAGGCCACTCCTTTAAGCCACCTTATCACTTTATCCTTGGCTATCAAGAGTAATGTGAGGGCTGGGAAGGTGGCTCAGTGGTAGAGCGCTTGCCTTGCATGCCTGAAGCCCTGGGTTCGATTCCTCAGCACCACATAAATAAGAAGAAAAAAGCCGGAAGTGGCGCTGTGGCTCAAGTGGTAGAGCACTAGCCTTGAGCTGAAGAGCCGAGGGACAGCGTTCAGGCCCACGACCAGACCCAAAAAAAAAAAAAAAAAAAGGAATGTGAGCCTCCTTCACTTACACCTCTTTGCTAGTCCCTTGGTCTGCCTCCTTTTGCATGGATCACCACCTGTCACACTCTATGATTTAACTATTCTGTGCCCATCACCCATCCCACTCTCATGATGCTCCAGTACCTATACCACAAGGCTCAGAGCAGTATAAGTGCTCAAAAGATATATGCCAAATGATGGAGCAAGTATGCCCAAAGCACCCAACCAGAGTCAGTCCCAGCTCATGTCCCCTCTCATATCATATGACCACAGCCTCAGGATCCCCCACCATTCACAGCTCTTGTCTTTGCCTCCCAAAGGAGAGCTTCTCATGACTCCCTTTCTACAAGGACCTCAGTCCCAAGGATGGTTCTCAGAGTCCACAGAACTCAGAGTAACTCCTTGCCTGCACTCTACAATTCTGCCTCCTTTCTCCCAATACAAAATGGCTGTGGTGTGGGAGGTGCACAAACACCACACCCTACTTAGCCTGGTGATCCCACCTATAAGCTCAGATAAGTAACTGAACCCTAAGCCTTTGATTGCTTGTCTGTAAAATGCACGCCCTTCCTCTGGGAAGACTGCCATGGCGGGTTTCAGGGCCCTAGTAGGGCATGCTCTGACTCACCTTGCACAACCTCCTCCAAACAGCGTGCGTTGTGTGCTGCACCCCAGGTATGACAGGCCGTAAAGCCCTGATCCTTGTACAGCACTCACTAGGCACCAGGCACTCACCTACTTAGCCTTCATGAAGGGCCTAGGAGGTAAGTGCTCGAATGTGCCAATTTCCCAGATAAGCAAAGCCAGGCACTCGACTAGCAGGTGTGGGGATGGGGCTCAGGATCACCCAGGAACCCTGTTCCTGCATACCTTGAAGAAGCCGATGATGCCCACGCCATAGGCCACACAGTACTTGTCCAGCAGCTCCCGGTTCCAGGCATCCAAGTTGACGTACTTGAGGATGTTCTCGTAGATGATGAGGGCAAAGCGGCCGCGGCCCTTGTCGGTGAGTGTGGGCATGTCTCCCTTGCCAGGCGCAATCTCTGTGCGGTACTTGAAGCGGCTAGACTCCAGGATGGCCACCACCTCCTGACCCAGCTGTGAGTACAGGCTCTCCACAAACACCAGCACCAGTGGGTCCGTGCGGGAAGGGGTGATGGCCTGTATGGGCTTGAGTGGCAGCAGGCGGCTGGGGGCCACAGGCGGTGGGTCCCCACAGTCAGACTCCAGGGCATCAGCCGAGGGCTCGAGGCCCCGCTTCCAGCCATACAGGTAGTAGGCTGAGACGAAGACGCTGAACAGGCAGAAGATGAACAGCAGGAAAAAGACAGCCTGTGGGGACAGGTGTCGACAGAGCCTCCGGAGGCATGCCACAGCAGGCATTCTGGTCCTAAAGGCCTCGACCACTGGAGGCCCAGCCTGCCTGGTCACCCCAAGGCCCCACACAGGAGACACAAGAATAATCCACCAACCAAGAAATTCACAGAGACTTAGGAAGAGAGGTCCTCAGTGGGCAGCAGAGTGGAGGGCTGGAGCCCCTGGCCCTTTCTCCCAGCCAGGGGCACAGTCCGCAGGCTGGTCTCGCTCCTTCCTTCCTCTGTGCCCCTTTATGTCACCATGGCAAACCCTCACGTGGTCCTGCACAGAGCAAAAGTGCCCCAGGGTGTCAGGGCCTCCTGAGGGTGCTGGACACCAGGCCAAAGTTCGCTGGGCAGGCCTGGGGGTGCCACATGCCGCTCACCCAGTGGGGCCCACAGGGTTGCTTAAGGCTGTGGAGAAAACAGGAGAGTCAGAATGGGGGCACAAAGGGGCCTACTGATTACAGACACTCAAGTCCTGACTAGGTGAATGCATGTTCAAGCACTACTGCTAGGTCCACTGACATGACTGGAGGCAACCAAGCTTTTTAATGCCCAAGTCTCGTTTCCCCTATGTGAAATGATGCAGATAATAAATAGAACTCGTCTCACAGCGGGTTGGAAGGTTAAGTCCAACAACGTACAAAAAAAAACACTTAAAGCAGCACTTAACATATTATATCTAAATACATAGCTGTTATTTGCCAGAAGCTGGGCGCTGGTGGCTCACACCTGTAAAGCTAGCTATTCAGGTGGCTGAGATCTGAGGATCACAGTTCAGAGCCAGCCTGAGCAGGAAAGGCTGTGAAACTCTTATCTCCAATAAACCACTCAAAAAACTGGAAGTGGCGTGATGGCTCAAGTGGTAGAGCACTAGCCTTGAGCTGAAGAGCTGACAGATAGCACCCAGGCCTAGAGTTCAAGCCCCATGACTAACAAAAATGAAAAAAGGAGAAAAAAAAAAGAAAAAAATCCAGAAACAAGAAGGACAAAGTGAAACACTAAACAATTCTAACACCTATGAGTAGGAGGCAGAATTCTAAATCTGAACCAAAAACCACTTCTGCTTTTCTCCTCCCTCTTCTGCTTTTCTTTCTCCTCCTCTCCTCTGCCCTTCTCTCCCCTCTCCTTCTCCATCTTTCCTTCCCCTCTTCTACTCTTCCCCTTTCCCTCCAAGTTTCTCTCTCTGGATGACCCATCCACCCCATCCAACAGATGAAAAGTCTGAGTCTCCAACAGAAGCAGCCACAGCAGGGCTTAACCTCAGGGCTGTGGGAGAAAGTCCAAGTGTGTCACTGTACATCCGTGAGCTCCATCAGAAGGTTACCACCCCTCCTCCATGGTTGGGATCAAGGCTGATCAAGTAAATGTGTCTAAGGGATCAGCACAAGAAATTCTCAGAAACTGCAGCTATCACCAACTACTCCAAATGCAACCCATGCATTGCCGTTCCTTGGGCACATGAATGCAGGTGCACATGGCAGCCTGGACACTGGGTGACCAGAACCTCTGCCTGAGTACCCCAGACTGCCAAGGGACAGCACACCTGGCCTGTGTCCACTCAGCATCCAGACTAAGCTGCAGTTTCACCCTCAGCCTGAGGACTATCATGCCCCGCCATGACCAGAAAGAGCTCACAGTGACTCACATATAAGGGGCCTTGAGCCACACTGTGGCTCAAGTGGTAGAGTGCTAGCCTTGAGCAAAAGGAACTCAGGGAGAGTACCCAGGCCCATAGTTCAAGCCCCAGGATCAGCAAAAAACAAAAACTAAAAAACAAAAACCACACATACACACAAACACATATACACACAAACAAGGGCCACAAAAACCACACGTACACACAAACCACACATACACACATACATAAAAACCACACATACATACTAACCACATATACATACAAACAAGGACTCTTTCCCCAGAGCAGCCCCTGACACAGCCTTCTAGTCCCCTAAATAAGAGTCAAAGACACAGGGAGAAATCTCCCAGCAATCATTGTGGATTCCCACCAGCCACAGCCACAGACCCAGCTGCTGAGGGCTGGCCCCAGAGCCAAATGCCCAAATGGAGGCATCAGAGCCAGGGCTGAGGTGGGAGCTGAGGTAGCCAGGCAGGGCATGGCCTTGGGGTGGAGTCTTTGAGATTGTTATAATGTGCTCAGCATGGGCACCACATCCCAGAGACCAGCAGTCATGCTTTCGGGGATTTATCCTAGAAGTGGTAACTGCAAGTGTGTGAAGATTTCCCTACACAAATACAAATTACAACTGCAAATGCCCAGCAATCAGGGGGGGCCTTTAGAAGCTATAATGCAATGGTGGAATTCTAGACAGACATCACAGTATAAAGAACACTTAACACATTGTTGAAGTGGGAAAAGTTATAAAACAGTCTGCATATGTGGTCAAATGTCTGATAAACATTTGGTAAAACATTATGTGTAGGTTAGAAACTAGTACTAAATTTAAAAAAAAATTAACACTGATTGTCTCAGGGTGACTTTCATTTTCTGTTGTTTTAAGGTTTAAGAGCAGATTTTGTCCCACCTGTGTTGTGAAATTCTGTGTGGCATGGAGCATGCCCTATCCCTCTCTGGGCTTCCTGCCTGTTAGTGGGGATTGGAGGCTCTTCCTCTGAGACTCTACACTACAGTCTCACTAATGTGCCACCCTGGGAAAGCAGAGGCACCTCTCAAGAAAGCAGGCAGGGGCTGGGAAGGTGGCTCAGTGGTAGAATGTTTGCCTCACATGCATGAGGCCCTGGGTTTGATTCCTCAGTACCACATAAACAGAAAAAGCCAGAAGTGGTGCTGTGGCTCAAGTGGTAGAGCACTCACCTTGAGCTGAAGAGCTGAGGGACAGAGACCAGACCCAGAGTTCAAGCCCCACGACCGACAAAAGAAAAAAAGGCAAAGAAAGCAGGCAGCTGGGCACTGGTGGCTCATGCCTGTAATCCTAGCTACTCAGGAGGCTGAGATATGAGGATCGCAGTTCAAAGCCAGCCCCGGGCAGGAAAGTCCATGAGACTCTTATCTCCAATAAACAACTCAGAAAACTGGAAGTGGCGCTGTGGTTCAAATGGTAGAGCCCTAGCCTTGAGCTGAAGAGCTGAGGGACAGCGCCCAGGCCCAGAGTTCAAGCCCCATGACCGATCAAAAAAAAAAAAGAAAGAAAGAAAGAGAGAGAGAGAGAGAGAGAGAGAGAGAGAGAAAGAAAGAAAGAAAGAAAGAAAGAAAGAAAGAAAGAAAGAAAGAAAGAAAGAAAGAAAGAAAGAAAGAAAGAAAGAAAGAAAGAAAGAGAAAGAAAGAAAGAGAAAGAAAGAAAGAAAGAAAGAAAGAAAGAAAGAAAGAAAGAAAGAAAGAAAGAAAGAAAGAAAGAAAGAAAGAAAGAAAGAAAGAAAGAAAAAGAAAGCAGGTATCTATCAAGCCAGGGGAGGAGTGTGGCAGCTGGGGAAGGGAATGGTGTTTGGGAGGGGTTAGAGGGCTGAGGAAGGCTACCTGGAAGAAGTGATGTCTAAGCTGCCAGACAAGGAGGAATGTGAGCACAGAACACAACCTGGAGATAAGGGGCCATGTGGTGCCTTCCAGGGATTCCCTACAATTCTAGGTAAGAGAAGGGCAAGAAGTAGCAGGTGTTCTGGCAGAGCCTCAAAGGCTGGAGTGGCCAGTCCTGTTTATGCACAGGGTGTGCCAGCATCCACTTATCACTGATTAGGGCTGCCTACAGCTATAGCTAGACTCACTAGAGGCCAAGGCCAGGAATATAACAGGCAGGGAACCAGTTCTGTCCTGATGGTGCCCTACCCACACCTGCCACTTAGCCCCACAGAAGAGAAGAGGTCATTGACCTTCTGTCTATTTTTTTTTGAGCCACAGCGCCACTTCCGGCTTTTTCTGCTTATGTGGTGCAGGGTTTCATGCATGCTAAGGCAAGCACTCTACCACTGAGCCACCTTCCCAGTCCCTTCTATTTTATTTTTGTGCCGGGGCTTGAACTCGGGGCCTGAGTACTGTCCCTGAGCTGCTTTGCTCAAGGCTAGCACTCTACCACTTGAGCCACAGCACCACTTGTGGCTTTTTCTGCTTATGTGGTGCTGAGGAATCAAACCCAGGGTTTCATGCATGCTAGGCAAGTGCTCTACCACTAAGCCACCTTCCCAGCTCCCACTAGACAATTATTAACAGCCTTTCTCCTGGTTAATGATGCAATCCATGACCTAAATCCTCTGGGGGCCACAGACACCTGTTGGCAACTGAGAGCATTTTTTAGATGTTAAAAAATGTGTACATGAAACGAAAGCATGATTGCCAGAGATTGGGGTGGGGTGGGTGGAGAAAGGGTTCTGAAGACAGTGAGACTCCTCTGTATAGCCCTGCAATGGCGGGTGTGTCTCCTAACCCACAGAATGGTGCAACACCAAGACACATGGTGACACATGCCTGACAGGATCATCAGTCCCAGGCCAGCCTGGGCACAGTGACACCCTGCCTCAAAACATAATTAGGTACTTAGTTAACTATTGTCAACACAAAAGTGAACTCTGCTACCAACTCTGAGCTCTCGGTGACGATGGTGTCCATGCAGGTCCATCACCTTTCCCAGATGAACCACTCTAGTGGAGGACCTAGACATAGGGAGGGCAGTACATACAGGATGATATAGAAACTCTCTACTCTCAATTGTACTGTGAATCTAAAATAGTTTTGGGTTTTTTGGGTTTTGTTTTGCCAGTACCAGGGCTTGAACTCAAGGCCTTGTGTTCTTGTTTAGCTTTTTTACTCACAGCTGGTCCTCTACCACTTTAGCCATGCCTCCAGTCTTGACATTTTGCTAGTTATCTGGAAATTAGACTTCTCTACCTGGGCTGGTTTCAAATTTTGGTCCTCTAGGTTTCAGCCTCCTGAGTAGCTAGGAATATACATATAAATCTTTGGCTCCTAGCACTAAAGCTGTTTTAACTGCTTTTCAAAAACAAAAAAATTTTTTAAAGAAATAGCTGTAGGGCTGGGAATATGGCTTATTGGTAGAATGCTTGCCTACCATGTACGAAGTTTTGGTTTCAACTCCTCAGTGTCACATAAACAGAAAAAGCCTGAAGTGGTGCTGTGGCTCAAGTGGTAGAGTACTAGCCTTGAACAAAAGAAGCTCAGAGACAGTGCCAGGCCCTGAGCTCAACCCCCTGGACTGGTGAAAGAAATAAAGAGAGAAAGGAAGGAAGGAAGGAAGGAAGCAAGCAAGCAGCAAGCAGGAAAGGAAGGAAGGAAGGACAAACTACATATAGGCACATCTATTAGAGTATGTAACAATTTCAAGAAATTCAGACCAGGGCTGGGAAGGTGGCTCAGTGGTAGAGCGCTTGCCTTGCATGCTTGAGGCCCTGGGTTCCATTCCTCAGCACCACATAAGCAA